CCTGCATGTACTTCGAACGAGCACATTGGTGGTGGAAGTGGAAGAACCAAGCCGTAGCTATCTATGCATAAAGTAGGAGCAAAAATGCGCCTTGCGTGCGTACCGCAGATGGTGGAGACGGCTAATTGCGAAGCCTGATAAGAGAACAATGTTGCCTAACTGGCAGGGGTAGAGAGCCTCTGAGCCAGTATCCAAGCTCTGACTTGTCCAGCGCAATGCAGTGTCGCTGCGCCCGTTTGCCGCTGAGCTGCGCTGGTTGGTGGTTGGTGGCCGTTGGTCGCACAAGCGCTGCACTTGGGATTTGCGACGCCAAAACCACCCAAACGTTGCAAGATGGCGAAGGAACAGATGCAGCTCATGCAATCCTAATCGCCCTTCCCCATGGCGTGCCTCGTTGCTTGCCTGTTCGGGCGCCATTGAAGTCTGGTTCGCCATGCTGGTCCTGATGCGTTGGCTTGCCAGCTCCCTCGGTCGTTTTCCTTCCTTCTCTTCCTCTTCGCCTTTCCTTTCTTCATCTGCAATTGATCCGCTGTTGCATCTTATCTGCAGTCTTCTTATTTATCACTTTGAAATATCTCCCTACGTGTGGAGCGCCCACGGTGAGTGTATCCAGACTGTATCTATGATTACCATGTTCGTCAGCAGAGTGAAAGGTGAAGCAGGAAGAGAAGATGGGAGATTTCAAACCAAGACCCTTGTAGAGAAGAAAGAGAAAGAAAAGAGAATTAGTAAAGAGGGAAGAATAAAAGTGTCGGGTGATCCATCGTTCTTGCAAAGTGGATGTGGAGCGACTGGGGATTGGAGATATCAACTTTCCCTTTTCTCTTCTTCTCCCCTCTACTTAGTACTTCTCTACTCTTCGTTCCTTCAACCATCTCTTGCGCTGGTCTTAGCTTCTCTTCTGCATCTTCCAGGTGAGGACTGCTCAGACTAACAGCTTCTTTTTAGTATCAGCTCAATGTCTACTTCTTCAGGTAAGCTTGGTTTCATTTGCAGCTGTCAAGCTGCTGGCGGATTGCCTGATCTTCACTAAAATCACCCCATATCCAGATTCTCGTACTATGGCCTCGTCGACCTCATTCACAGGCCATCCAAATAGCTATATGCCTCGAAGGTGAGTGCCCTCAGCGTTCTAATTGCTTTGTCGTCTACAGATCCATACTCGAGTTCCATTATATACTCACTGAGATATGTACTCGTCCGACTGACTGGTTTCTAAACAGACCATATGCTGTGAGTCCCACCAACTGCTCGCTTAGAATCTCATCAATGCGAGCTGATCTGATGATTCCACCATGATACAGCAACTTCCGAGCTATAGAAGTACCCCGTCAAACGCAGAAACCGTCACCATCCCCCGCTCGGAATATGATCGTCTGGTGAGTACAATGTGACAGGTCCAAAATGGCCCCTCACTGACCGGCGACACTTCGCAGCTCCAAGATTCGCAACATTTTGGTATGCGACCGCCTCTCGTATACCTAATATCTATCTCTGCAGCTGACATTATCACCCCAGCTAAACTAAGAACCTCACTCCTCAATGGAGGGTTGTCCCAGGAAACTCTTGATGTCAGGACACGCCCACTGAGTGGCGTACATTTACTAACCTACATAGGTCTTAATTTACGGGGCTGCCCAGCAGCCTTGTCACCAAACTAGCCGCGAAAATAGCTCTCAGAGCCCAGCGAAATCGCATGCGGCGTTCGAGAACAAGGCTCCTCCTGGCTGTCATGAACACTTAGACGTGAAAGTTCATGACCCTGATGAATTCGCCATTGGTGAAGATGAGGACGAAGACGAAGACGCTCTCCTGGATTCTCATGACAGCGAAAACAAGGATGACTATGATGAGTCTTCCAGAAGTGCAGGATCTTCTCCTACTCCAAGCGCCCAACGTACCGTGCTAATTCGGAATCTTCCCGACCGTATCACGCACAGAGACATCGTCGCCGCCATAAAGGGCGGAGCCCTACTGCACATCTATTTACGTGCGCGGGAACACATGGCCAGTGTGTCTTTTGTCGAGGAAGCGGCCGCTCGTGAATTCTTCCGGACTGCGAAGACCTACGGTCTCATTGTTGCTGGGAAGCGCGTAAGTGCCCAATTCGGCAAACGGTAGCACCGCTAATAGCTACTATAGGTGGAAGTGGGTTGGAATGACAGACAGTTCTACCTTCCTCCCTATGTCCGGGCCAAAATTGACAATGGAGCATCGCGCAATCTAGTCGTCTACAATGTACAGCCGAACGTCACGGAGTGGGTCATCCGGAAGGATCTGGACCATATCCACAACCTAATCGTGATCTCGGTACAATTCAAGAATGGCAATGCCTACATCTCCACCAATTCAGTGCATAATGCGCTCTTTGCACGCTCCTGCATGATGTCTCGGTTCACGTACAAGGGCATGAAAATTGGGTTCTATCCGGACGAGTGTTTGGGTACCCCGGGGAAGTACCCCAAGAAAGAACCACAAGCACCGGCAAAGAAAACCGGCTCCGTGCCCAATCGTTTTCAACTTCTGTCCCTGGATGGAGCCGACGATGAGGACGACCATACCAGCCATGACGGACTGGGAAGGATGAACAATGGAATGCGATGGGCTGATAATAGCGTTACCGCCTGAGTTGTCACCTCTCCTCTCTTTTTTCCCTTTGTACTCTCTTTGAAGTGTTGTGCTACCAAATAGTTGAGCAGCACGTTACCTTTAGGCGAGACTAGTCACCAAATTTAGGGGAATTGGTACTAGTATAGTGGTGCGTTGCGTGAAGGGGATCTGGCTTGATAGAACGGAATGACTGATCAGGCTGGACGGACGAACATGACGGATAGGCAGCGGCGAGTGGGGTGAGAATGAAACAAGATGGCGGGTGATCTACGAGGGGGATGGCCAGACTGATTGCCAGATGCTATTACTTACCATAGCCAGCGTATATCAGTCATCTAAAACGGTTTATCCGTTAAGAGAACGTGCGTTTGCATGCTAATACAACGCACGGACATCCAATACAACCTTATAGTGACAGGGCTGACGACAAAAAAAGAAATTGGGTGATATTTAAGATAGTCCAGGCTTATACTAAATAACAGCCTAAGACCGGGGCCAGCATTGCACCATAATTTCCAAACACAGCCACTGTAAACAACCCAAACCATCCTCTTTATTTGATTGAATTGTCTGCAGTGGTGGAATGGGACCACCACACCAGATCTCTCTCTTCTTCTCTCCCTCACCCCAATAAGTACAACCGTTAAAACGACAAACAGCAACAACAACACCATCCCGCATGATATCCCGTTTTCTGCCTCACACAAACAAAACCCTTCATAACCCGGCCATAATCATAAGAGGGAAAACGTTATAGGAAAACTTTTTTTTAAAAACCGATCCGAGCCAAGCAAGCAAAAACTCGAACCGTAAAAGGTGGGGGGAAGCATAACAGCCGGGAAAGTAAGGTTTTTGTCCCCCAATTCCATGGTTTAAATTCCTTTCTTTCGAAAACGGAACGGAATGAGAAACAAAAAGGAATGAGAACAGAAAAACAGGCAGAGGCGGAGCAAGCTTGTATGTGTGTATATTGTTGATGTAATAATGAAGCCGTTTAACGGTAGGACTTCTGGTAGCGAGCGCGGGCACCACGACCACCGAACTTCTTGGGCTCCGTACGACGGTTGTCGGCGACGAGGAGTGTGCGGTCGTACTGGACAAGAGCCTGCTTCAGCTGGTTCTTGGAGTGCTCATCGACGTACTTCTGGTAGTAGGCGACGATGGACTTGGCGATGGCCTGACGGATGGCGTAAACCTGGGAGGTGTGACCACCACCGGAGACGCGGACACGGATGTCGACACCGGCGAACTTGTCGGCTCCAACGATCAGGAGGGGCTCGTAGACCTATTCCAATTTCGCGTGTTAATTCGATCCGCCATTGCCACTTCGTAGGGAAAATCCCGACAGGTGAGTATGTACCTTGAAGCGGAGGATCTCAGGCTGGACCAGAGAGAGGGGCTGGCCGTTGACCCGGATCATGCCCTTGCCTTGCTGTAGTTGGAAGAAACGAATCAGTTTTGACGCTCTTCTTTTTCTTCTTCTTTCTGTCGCGGTTTTGGTTCATCTGATATATTGCGATGCGGATGCAGATGTGTCGTTCGAGTTTGGTTGCGCATGCCTTCTTCCTTTTTTTCCCTTTAGGTATTCGACTTCCTTCAAATTTGCATATTCGTGTCGTTCAATTATTTTCGATACTCGATATCGCATCACTCGCGTTTCCATGCATTCCATGTTCCTTAACCCTTAACGTCGAATAGATACCCAAGCTTCCTTCAACCTTCCAAACCCAAGTATTGACCAATATCGAACGACACATCGGCATCCGCAAACACGATAAATCCTAGACCAGCAGGGAGGTGACAGATAGATAGACAGAGAACGTTATTCTCATACCTTGCAGTGGGCGACAGCGGTGGCTAAAAATCACATCAACCGTTAGCATCCCATGCTACCTTCAACAAATCATCCCAACATCCCGAACCCTCCCCCAATCTTCAAATTCCACCCAATCCATTTATATATCAAAAACAAGAGGAAAACTCACCCGTCTTCTTCTTGCCGAAGCATTGCACACTCGGGACGGAAGCCATGATGGGGAGGCGGCGAAGTGTGCTGGGTGGTGGGAAGTAAGGTAGACGGTGTCGGGGTCGTGGAGTATTTGTCGTCGATTAACGGAGTCGCGCTGTATTAATTTTCGCTTCGCACAGTCAGGCGGTGCGATTTCTTCTTTGGGGCTTGTGGTTTTGCTGACTGTCCAATTCTTGGTCTCTCGCTTAGTGCGCTGCGCTAGGCCGCTTTGGGACCTTGAGGTAGGGCTTGTCGGGGGGAGTTGGATTGCATCACGTGATGGGGAAAGTTCGGACTCCCGGGATAGAGGCTGTGCTCAGGTTGTTGTAGGTATAGATTGAAGTGAGAGACATATAGCTATAGCTATTCGTTTTACGTCAAGATGTCGCAGACTGTTGGAAAGGTATATCCCATGCCCCCTTATCCACTTCTTCTCAATTGCACATGATTGATCCCTTTTCCCTCCCTCTTCATCTATCTGTTTATGCTCAATATCTAACTTTGATATCGATATAATGCTATAGACCCGTCTCGCCTTCTCCCGAACATGGCACTACGTCGACGTCGGCAGTGACCCTCGCAGTCTGGGTCGACTTGCCTCCTCTATTGCCCTCACCCTCATGGGCAAGAACAAGCCCGTCTACGACCCCTCCACCGACTGCGGTGACTATGTCGTCGCCGTCGGCTGCCACGACCTCCGCGTCACCGGCAAGAAGCGCTTCCAGAAGAAGTACTACACTCACAACACCCGCCCCGGTAGTCTGCGGAGCATGACTATGGACAAGATGTTTGAGAAATGGGGTGGTGGTGAGGTCCTCCGTCGTGCTGTTCGCGGCATGTTGCCCAAGAACCGCTTGCGGGATAAGCGCTTGGCTAGGCTGAAGAGTGAGTATACCCTGATATCAATATCAATTGGAGATATATACATATATATCTGTTGCCTATACCTTGGGGCTAGACTGGTCTATGGTATGTCGTTTGAGGATGTATGCTAATGGTATTCTTGTATAGCTTTCGAAGGTCTCGCCCACCCCTACAAGGAGAATATCGTCAAGCTTAACGGACAGTCGGTCATCGGAAACTTGCCCGAGGTGAAGGAGGCGTTTAAGACGGCCAAGACCGATGCGTAATTGCATTGTGTTGTCTGCGCATCTTGTCGACTTGCTGGATCGGATACCATTGTTACCGTTTAAACCTCTTGTACTTTTACATATGTCATTGATATTGCTGTTGTCATGTTATGACTTGCTAGCGCATGGGTGGGAGTTTTGTGATCTTATTTTATTATTATCTTTTATGTGACATATCTTGTTTATATTACTACTAGCTACGCTACACAATTACAACAGCTTGTGCATTGATCATGATGTATCAGAACATGTGAATGATGCTATTTATCCCTAACCTATATACAAGTGCCCGAACTCCATCTCATAACTGCTAATGCAATACTACAAATCATCCTACAGCTTCGCCTTCGTGTTGCGACCAACCGTGCACTTGATCAGCCCGTTCGGGTTGGTCTGCGGCGCATACACCTCGGCATCCTTGCCGGTGTTCTTCAGGCCCTTGTGCCAGCTCAAGTCTGCGACAAACAACGGATTAGCCGGAGCTCAAGACGAATACATTTATCAGAGAGATGAAATACATACCAACTTCAAAGTAGTGCTTGTTAGGCAGAGAGTACTCGACCGTCTCAAGCAAGGGCTGACGAGCCAAGATCTGCTCCGCCATCTTGTACATAGTGTTCTGGACACTGGCCGAGTTGTCCTCGGCAAAGGTCTTAAGGGTGATATCCCGGGCCGCCGACCAGGTCGCATCGAACTGAGGCACAGTAGCGCGCACCTCTTCCAGCCCGTTGAAGCGGCGCCACTGCCAGCTGGCGTCGACGTCGGTGCTGAGAATACGGTCCCATGTCTCAGGGAGGGTGGTGTACTCGTCGCGCAGGAAGCCCCAGAACTGCGAGTTGGTGCTCTTCAGAACGGTCAACTTGGCCAGAGACGAAGTGATGTCCACGCCCTTGCCCTCGACGACATCGACCTGCACGTTGCGGGTTTCCTCGCCATCCCGGAGGAAGGAGTGCGGGTGCGGCTTGCCGTCGATGGTCATACGGGTCCAACGGTGGGTGATGATGTTGACATGGGCGGCGTGGATGTGGTTGTACTTGGTGATGAAGTGGGATCCAAGAATGGAACCAAAGAGCTCGGGAGGAGTGACGGGGTTTTGCTTGGCAGTGATGTAGATGGTGTTCTTGATGGAGTCGGTTGCGACAATCACGCTGTTGTCGGCCTTGGTGTAGCTGTAGTAAATGAGGGTTAGCTTTGGGCTTAGATTTAATGGAGGGAGGATACATACGAGGTATCGATGTCACCCTCCAAAAGGACGCAGACGGTCATCTCCACGACCGTCTGGACGCCGGTCTTTTCATCGCGGTGGACCTTGTATACTCGGACATTGTCCTTGCCGTAGCGGGCCGCAGTGACTGGGGAAGACATGGTGGGTATGGGGTAGGGAGGAGAGGAAGATGAGCAACCAAAGAGGGGTATCTGACAATAAACACAGAACTGGGAATTTCAAGTGCAACAACCCCTGTGGCAGCAGGATGAAGCTTTTTAAGACTTCTCCGGAGCCAGGGAGCAGTCGGGATGGGGAGATGGCAGCGTATCGGCCACCTCCGAAGCCCGCGGGACTTGACGGCCGCAGCCTCCCTCGCTTTATCTTATCGCCCCGGGATTCGTAACCTCTGGGGTTATGCAAACATCAGGCAATCCCGGCTGTGGTTGCCGGGGATATGTTTGGCTAGAATGAATGTAATGGATGTAACCAAAGTGATGTGATTGGGATGGATTCATCGGTCTGCCGTCAGCGGTTACATGAAAGAGCAAGAATGGACAGCCAGACTACCAAGAAACCCTACAAAATGTAGAGGAAGTATCGGACATGTGACTGCCCAGACGTCATCCACTCGAAAGAATGTCGCGACTCAACAAACAATGAATCCCCAGACTCAAGATGGTGTCTGCCATCATTGCAAGAAATGCCGGGATCTGCTGAGTTTCTCAATATAGCATATCCCATTTCGACCCTCGACTGATCTTCAATTGCTCTGCTACGGACCTGTCCGACACCGCGGGTCCGGCCTATTGTCCGACGGTTCAGCAATGAGAGCTATCCGGCTCAAGTCGTGCTGAGACCAGGACATCAAGTCGACGAGCCTGAGAATACCATGTGGTTTACAAGTGAAGGTAGAGAGCGCCCGCCATGGCTTCTCAAGTACCGTTCCTCCACAGCCTTCATCATTGCGACAGTCTGGACCTCTTCGTTCACGGTATGCAGACAATCACTCTACCAGAGACACAATAGCTGACACCGGCAGGACTACTTCCTCTATGCCATGGTGAGCATCATCCATACTCACATCTATATCGCCAATTAACTCTCTAGATCGTCCCCGTCATGCCAACAGCCCTAGTCGACCGCGCGAAAATTCCCTATGAAGACCGTACGTCCACCACCACAATCACCCCAACCTAGTCTACACCTTCTGATACAAAACCAGGCGAACGCTGGGTCAGCATTCTCCTCATCTGCGAAGCCACCGTCGCATTCATCTGCTGCCCGATCTTCGGATACTTGATCGATGTCGCGCCCACGCGCAAACTCCCCTACCTGCTCGGCCTCATTCTGCTCGGGGCATCTATGCTCATCCTCTGTCTCGCACGCACCATCAGCTTCTTCGTCATCGCACGCCTCCTACAAGGCAGCGCAACCGCCATGGTCGTCGTCGCCGGACTCGCCCTCCTCACCGACTCCGTCCCGTTCGAGAACCTCGGCCAGACTGTCGGATACCTAGGGTCAGCGGTTACCCTAGGGTTCCTGCTAGGTCCATTACTGGGGGGTCTGGTGTACAGAGTAGCAGGATATCAACCCGTGTTTGCAATGGCGTTTGCCATTGTAGGATTAGACCTGGTGATGCGGTTTGCAGTGATCGAAAAGAGGGTCGCGAAGCGGTGGATGGCTTTATCGCAAGATGATGCCGACAACGACAACGAAACCAACAACGACGACAATTCCTCTGAATCAAGCACACCTCAACCCGAAACCACAGGGAACGAAGTAACCATCATACCCAAACACTCCCGCAAACCCACCCTCCTACTTCTCATCCAACAGCCCCGCATCCTCATATCATCCTGGGGTCTCCTCGTCCACGGCATGATATACGCAGCATTTGACGCCGTACGTCCTTCCCTACCTCCCCCCAACCTCCAATCTACCACAAACTAACAACCCACCCACCCACTAAATGACAGACAATCCCCATCTTCGTCGAATCCCACTTCAACTGGACGCCCCTAGGCGCAGGCCTAACCTTCCTCCCCTCCTCCATGACCGCTCTCTTCGAGCCCTACTTCGGTACACCCCTCCCCCATTCCCCTCCCCCCAAACCACCCACCTCACTAACCCTATCCCTCTATAACCAACAGGAAAACTAACCGACACCATAACCCCACACCCCATCGCAACAACAACCTTCCTCCTCCTCCCCATCCCACTCAGCATGCTCGCGCTCTCCACCAACCCCACAAGCACCCATATCACCCTCCTAATGATAAACCTCACCTTGACCGGCCTCCTCGTCAACATCGCCACCCCGGCCCTGTACCTCGAGACCCAGCGCGTATTGGATACCATGGAGCGCCGGGAGCCGGGGATCTTCGGGCCCAGGGGCGCAGTCGCCCAGGCGTTTGGGATCCAGACGATGGCGCAGTTCCTAGGACTGAGTTTGGGGCCGTTGGCTGGGTTCGTGGAGGGGAGGTTTGGGTGGGGGGTTGTGGTTGTGGGGTTAGGGGTGGTTTGTGCGGTGACGGGGGTGGTGGTGGGGGTTGGGTTGAGGGGGGATGCTTGTTGTGGGAGTAGTAGGTTTGGGAATGGGGATGGGGATGGGGATGATGGGGAGAGGGAGAGGTTGCTTGCTGGGGACTGAGTAGGTGATTAGGATGATAGATTGAATTGGATTTTGTGATTTCGAGTACAAATGTAAAGTTGAAAATTTGCTTTTTGTAGGAAACCTAACTAACATAGGTCGGTCATATGCTGATTGATACATTCGGATTTCAGATCAGATCTAAAATTCATTTCATCCATCCATCTTCTCTCAAATCATACCAACTGCACCTTTTATCGAAAGACATAAGACGAGCATCACACAACACAAGGATTGTCTTCATGTACAGTTCAAACTCAATCCAGATACATACCGGTGTGGATGTAGCGTAGCGTAGCATAGCATAGCATAGCGGAGCGGAGAAAGAAGAATCCATATCAACACGAGAATGGAATGGATCAATCATATAATAAGAGAATCGAAACCCCAAAGAAAGTTAAAAGCGGTACGTTTTTTGTCTGTATTCCATTCACCGGAGGGATAGAAGGAAAAAAAAGGAAGAAAGAAAAGGAAAGGAAGGTATAACGCCATCCAATGCCCTACTTCGACGCCAATAACGCCTAATCATGGGGGGTTAAATTGTAATAGAGAAAAATGAAGGAAAGAAACTCCACCATAACGCTCATATCCCCAAACACCATGAATCAATAAATCAATCAATCAATCACAGACTTAGCTGATCAATGCTTCCCACTCTACCGCTCCCACCGAGTCGACCTCCGCCTTTCGTCACCATCCCTAAACGGTAGAACCGCTCCTCCCCGCCAGGCGTTCGACCTCCGATATACCACTTCTCCGGACCCAGCGCATCGCGGAACCCTCCCGAGCCACTTGAGCTGTCGCTGCCGCGACGCTGACGGCCTTGGCTGTTTGTGATCGGGATGGGGTTTGACGCGGCCGGGGTGGGTGGAGAAGAAGCGGCCTGTTGGGTCTGAGGTGGGGCCGGGGATGCTGGGGAAGATTCGGGCTGGTTCAATGGAGATCGCTGGTGAGAGTGAGGACGGGAGTGGGAGGAGGATGAAGCGCTTGTGGTGGAATGATGGTGGTAGTGATGGGTAGTGGTGGATGGAGAGGCATCTGATGAGGAAGCGGCTGCGTTGCCGCTGCTGGCCTTGGTGGCTATGGCTCGTGCGCCTTGGGAGATTTGGGTGGAGGAGAGAGAGGAGGATGGACCAGCGGTCGCGGATTGTGAGCCTGCTGCTGAGGCTTTGTATGTGGACTGGGCGCGAAAGGCCGCTAGGAAGTTGGCCAGGAATGGCCGGTTGGTGGACATGGTGGCGAGGGGGGGAGCCACGGTGAGAGTATAGAGATGGAGTGAGTGAGTTTGGACTGACAGGGGTACGCTAGTCGGATAGGACTAGGGCCTGTAGTCGGTCGCAGGTGTGTTTGCTAATATTGGAGTAGAAGGTATGTATTGCCGGTTGTGAGAAGTGGTAAGGTGAGGGGATTGTGCGTCTTGTATATTGAGTTGGTGTCGGTGGTCGTCGGTCGAGATCGGGGCGATAGTAGCCGCGGAGTTGCGGAGTAGACGAGATCTAGACGGGGGTCTGAGAGGAGAGTGTGGATGGAGGAGAACGACTGAGTACAAGAGTACACGAGTACACGAGCACAGACAGGACCAGAAGGAGACTGCAGGAGGGGACGGACGATCGGAGCCAGAAGGATGGAGGAGGTGGTGGACGATGACGAGAGAAACGGCGGAGGAGATTCAGAAGTTGAAACTGGAGGACCTCCGGGGAGTCCCGTGGGCGGCGGCCAATCAGCGGGGGTGGATATCAATCCGGGGGAGCCCCTCGGCGGTGACGTCTATTAATTAAGTACTACTGTAGACTATCAGTTAGTTAATTATATCTACTGGTAATAGGAGGGGATGAAATAATCATTCATCACTTGGAATCTTAAGTAGTCTCTTATCTCTCATGCTTGCTACTATGTCTTTCTGCTCTATCAATCTACCCCCCACTCTCTTTTTCTCTCCCCAAGTAAAGTATCGGCCTACTACACTTTGGCACATGCGAAACCAAAAAAAAACAAGAATCGAATCACCTGCAACAAGAGTTACCCGATCGCACTAACCATCCAGCGCTCACCGTAGGGAAATCCCGGGATCTTCTCCAGACATCTCCGCTCCGGACCAAAGGTTGGCTTGTTCGGTCGGGAAAGTCAAGTTCCAGGCAGTCACGGGGTGTTCACATGGCCTGTCCCCTTCCGATCCCGTGAGGCTCTCTCATTAGCTACTTAGCTAGTTAGTTACTAGTTACCTTAGTACTACTTAGGTAGTTACTCTGTACTTTGTAGTACTCTGCTATTTCTCTACTACACCCCCACCAAGGTTAAATTGTAAGTCATGTAAATATGGCCCTTATTATTTCTCGTTCAACTCCGAATCACTGGCTGTCTATATTCTAGCTTTTGGATTCCCGTGGCTTCCCATAAGTGACGACTTCCACCAGGCCTGATGCAGGGGGTTTTTCAATCGGCCTCCCTGGCCTCCAGACTCCAGGACCAGATACAAGAAGAAAATGCATGCGGCATCATGGATAGAACAAGTACATAACCGACGTATGGAACATCTGGGGGCTGACCAGGGGTGTGCATCCAGGCAGATCAACCAACCGCCGTCCGGAGTAACAAAAAAGAATGAAACAAGCTCCAACACAGCAGGAGTCTCCCTGACTGCGGCCAGGATCTGCAGGCAACCCAGCCGCGAAAATGTAGGAAATCGGGCAGTCGAAAAGCACCATGCTACCTTTTTCGGTCACAAATGAAAGAGATGAAAAAGGAACAGAAAAAAAAAAAGAATAAAGCATGAGACACGAAAGGAAACCGAAGCACATTAACACAATAAACACATTGGATAGGAACGCAGGAGGCAAATAGTAAACACAAGACGACGCAACACCTTTCATCCTAGCTCGACCTCGTATGCCCTCCATCGGACACACAGTATGTACTTACATGGTCGACTGGAAGACAACATGCGGATAGGAAACGGCCGTGACGGTTATGCAAACAAATCCCGAACACACTCAACCCTCCGTGCAGCTCGAATTTGAACAGGAAAAGGGAACATGCAACGCGAAACGAAGAGTGGACGGAAGCCTTCCCCGCAAGAAATCTTTTGATGACTCGTTAAGATGAGAGAGCCCTTGACGCAACAAAAATCAAACACATGCCCAAGTCTATGATTGGACGCCAGTTAAACAAACCACACACACCATCCCATCAACCCACTCATAATGGATGGAAACAAAACAAAACAGGTCCAGAATCACCGCAAATCTGCACTCGCCGTAGAAAATGCTCACAAGATTTTTCAAATAAACAATGGACGACCAGATAACCCAGTAGGACAAAAGAAGACGTTTTCATAACAATGAGTAATCCGGATGCTGTAATCTAGACCAACGCTGTGGCGCGCTGCGCGGAGTCGGTGGCCGAAACGAGCTTTTTTCTATCTGTATTTTTTTTTCTTCCCTTCCATTTTCCGGTTCATATTTTTTTTCTTTTATAGGGATAACCCTCGATAATCATTCATGTGGCTTTCCAGGCTGGATTCATGCGCATGATCCAGGAGACTGATAAGGCGCCAAACCGCATAGCATGTAAACCCTTGTGTAAGAGCATCATCAGCATGATCGGAGAAGCGTCCCCATAGATACTCCCAGACAAATGACTAGCATTGCAAGACATCGCTAGACTGATGCATAACATCGTTTGACAACGTAACCCAGTTAGTAAGACAAATTTGTAACCGTTCGTTATGGCCGCAGTGCTCCGTCTCCCTTGACGTTATACACATCAAGCTCAACGTGGTCAGCTCAAGACATCCACTTCCAAGTCACCACTATTGCCTAGCAGGCTGGACAGTACCTGGGATCCGGGGATTAGCATGCCGTCATCCATATGCAGGGGCAGGAGTTGAGTTCCGGGACTCCTTCACTTACCGTCGCCACTCAACGTGGTCGAAGCCAGGTAGAGACCGTTCATCCCACCCTCCTGGGGACCAGCGGTGGTGGTGGGGTAAAACTTGCGTTCGGTATCGACGTGAGCGTGGATAGGCTCCTGGCCGGACGCCATGGTCTGGGGGAAGACGGGATTGATGTAACCGTCGAACGCTCCGGGCTGAAACATCGAAGTCCAGTCAATTTCGCCAGCGTGATTGGGAGGTCCAGGCATGACAGGACGTTTAGGGTCTTGAACAACCGGGGGCTTTACCTGCTCAATAGGAGGACGATCAACATTCAGCTGCTGGCCATTTGCATCTGCGCCAGGCTGCACCATGTATGAGTTCTGCTTGGGAGCAGCAAGCCAAGGTCCACGCTGGTGAGGCTGTCCGCCGGGGAACGCGTCTTCGGGCTGACCGCGGTTCATCCCATTGACGGAAGGCATGGAGAATCCCAAAGGCTGCTGTTCCGGATATCCGGGGCGACCGGGAGCCATGCCATTGCCGTTCACGGGCGCCTCGCCATACGTAGCACCCGGCATACCGTTGGGATGCGGGACGGTCGTATTGACTTCATCCTGAACGGGTTTAACGGCGTTTTGCGCAGCTTGAGACCGCTTCAAGTGTGCCTGAGGGTGCGACAGGTGAGTCGCCCCAGTAGGGTTACCGCGGCGCAACGAGCACTTCTGGAAGTGGCGCTTGAGGATATCACTGCGAGAGAAGGTATCCTTGCAGAGCACACACATGTACGGACGGTCTCCAGTGTCTACCGAAGAAAACATAGATTAGTCATCGGAACAATTCGATCCCCGCCATGCGCTATCATATTATACAAATGGAAAGAGGGGCACTCACGTCTGAGCAAATGGCGCTTCAGATGCTTCGCATGAAGATAAGTCTTGTTACAGTGCGGGCAAGGGAACTTTCCATCCGCATCCTTGGCCGGAATAGTAGTGTTCTTCGCGGTACCATTGACACCGTTCGTGACGGGAGTCGCGCGTCCCGGAACGCTCGGCAAAATTCCGCGGCGGCCCTGCGACCCAACAACCTGTGTCCTAGGTGGTTCCTTCGCGGCATACGGGGGAGCACCGTTTGCACCTGCAACAGGGTCGGGGTTCATCCAAGGCGATCCCTTGTTATCGGAGTAGCTGAAAGCACCAGACGGAAGGCCGGAGAAGTCCGAGCGACGGTCACGCGGAGGCGCCGGCGCAATCGGCTGGGGATAAGTCTGCGCGCTGGACGCGGGAGGCAGCACGCTATGAGGCGGAGGGTAGGCTTGCGACGGCTGGGGTTGAGCCTGCGGATTGGGGTGGGACAGGAACGACGAGGGAGGCAGGCTACCCACGGTGGTGTGAGGCATGATAGGAGCCGCGGAAGACGCGTAGACATCGTGAGTAGATGCGGGATACCTCGACAGATCCGGCCGGTACGGCTGGCCCATGTAGGAGTGAGGGGCAGGGGATTGACTGTGATGAGGCTGCAGCGGGGGGAGAGTATGCGGCTGGGACACAGGGTATTGAGGCTGCATGGTGTACTGAGGCATGGGCATGCTCGAGATGGGTGTCGAGGACAAAGGCGTGGAGCCCTGGGGTAGGCTGGTAGATGGGGGCCGTGAAGGATGAGATCTGGGATCCATCTTGAACGCGGAGAGGCTTTCAAACACGGAAGGAGGGGAAGGAGGGAGGAGAAGAGAATTGGGGTAAGAGACTGGCGAGAGGAGATTTCACGATATCTCGATCATTGATCGCAGGGCGAGAAAACCTTTTCGTAGGATGTGTCTTGCGACCAAGGCAGTGCTCCGTGGATGCGAAAAGACTGCCAATGCCACCTTGTTCAAATCCTGATCGCGTTTCGCTCGCAAAATTCTCCAGTCCGGAGTTGTGTGCTCGCTTCTCTTCGATTGTGACTTCTGGTTCCTTTTTTTCCTTTGCTTGTTCCGACAAATGAACAATCCTCCCACCTGATGCGGAGAATTGACGATGAGATTCGCGGAAGAGGTAGGTTCGATAAGCAAATCGACGCTCAAGGATCCTCAAGGTCGACGATAGACGTGCAGGATCAAGTTCGACTCCACTGCAGAAAAGAGGTCAGGAAAGAGGTCGAGATGCTTAATCTGAATTCCCCACGGTCACCCACCAGAAACTCGAGTTGTGTGGGAACTTCTCACTATCCGCACGTTGTCAAAACAGTCAATGGTTCTGATCCACAAGGGAGGCGGCGTGTAAGTGGGTCTAACACAATCAGCAGTGCTAGAGGGAAATTTCGCTAGCCAATTTTTGCTTCGCGTCAACAATGCGCGCGAAATTGACCAGGATGACTCTGATGGG